AAAAGAAATAAAATTGAAACCTAAAATGTCTTAAGATTACAATGTATACTATTCATAGTATTGCATACAGAAATACCAGTGCTGGAGCTTAGTAATTATCAAGAACGTTGACTGCAAATCAGCACCAACAATAACAATTGGCAAGTGAAAATTTTAGAACAGTAAGAAATCACATTTCTATGACGATAAAACATGTCCTCTCTTAAATATTTAGCTGCTGCAGTGGCAAATTGCAAGCAGATCTAAAATACTGACTCAGTGCAGTCCTATACTGCATCTCCAGTCCATCAGACTTTATAACCCTCTCATACACACACACACACACACACACACACACACACACACACACACACACACACACACACACACACACACACACACACACACACACACACGCACACGCACAGACCGGTGTGAGGTGGCTGTCTGAATAATGCATGATGTGGTGGCAGGATTCACTGGGGACTACAGAGTTAAACTGGAGACAGGAAGACAGGATCAGAGAGGAGAGAAACACAGCTGTATATGGGGCGTGTTACTGGGAATAAAGATGAGAAAAGACTTGAATTGTTTCTACAACTGTATTTTAGAGAGGCAGGGTTACAGTGACACACAGCTTGTTTGATGATAATGATCAAGAAACATTTGTTAAATTAAATGCATGTCTTGCAGTACCAGACACAGACCAGACAATCTTCAGGTAGTTTAATGTACTATAGCCAGGTGTGTACAGGTGGGAGTAGACTCTGGGGCAGACCCACTTCGGAGATTCTTTGGATGAGTGCATCTTATATAAACAATTAGATTATTTTAATCTACAATTCAGTCAATAGATCATAGATAATAGAATAGATCACAAGCATAGTCTGAGCATAATGCATACATTTATCTCTATCCAATACAAATGGCATGTTTCAGTGTGAGCAGTTCTGATCACATGTTCATACCCGTGTGCCTCCCTTCTTTAGAAATGACTCTGGGGGGGATGAGGATTGTGAGTAATCCCTGATATGAATGCCTAAAGAGTGTAAACATCAAAAAGACTCATTTAACCAATCAGACAGCCTTGTTTCCGTACACTATGACCTCTGCTGCGTGTCCACAGAGCAACATGGAGTAAAACCACTCAGTAATCTCAGAATATAGAATCCATCAAGCTTTTATTAATGGAACATAATTATTGACTTATGTCACACATTTCTGCTGCGACCAATGACCAGCAACAGCAATAGAAATGTTTTAAACGTTTAACCATGTTACGACATTGTTCCATCGTCACGTTAATATGAGAAACAATATGAGGAAGACGGAAGTATTCGTCGAAACATGTCAAGGGAATAACATCGCAAAACCTTGTATTGCTTGGTATAGAAGAATCCAATACTTTTAATTCTTCTAAAAAGGCAAGATAAATCTTCCTAAACTATGATAAACACAACCCCTTGTCCCTTCTGCCATGAATGCTCTGTTTTTAAACCCAGTGCAGCCTTAGACCAGTGGTCTGCAACCGTATGATTTAAAAGAGCCATTTTCCCCGTCTCTTGTCAAATATCCGCAGAATATTTTCTATTTTTTATTTGTAGATCTTTTTTAGTTTGATTTTAATCAAACTAAAAAGTAATCACAATGCACCATTGTGGTTTAGTGTATTGTTCCAATCAAAGACAGAAATTGAACATTTTTGTCAAGGTCAAAGGAGTCTTTGAAGGACGCTGAGGAGCCGCTGGTTCCCTCCCCCTGCTTTAGACTAGGGCCATATCTGCATTTTAAAAACAAAAGTATTGCTTCCAAATTGGCATGAAAATGTCTCCAGTGATATAATATCTTTTCCACCTGCTGCCTTCAACTAGACCATATTGGATGCTTCATATAAAAGACAAATGCTATCTCCAATCGTTGACAATATTGGGGTGCTGATCCTCACCTTGTCTTTATGGGGAGTATATGTTTATCAATATAATGTTCTACTTAAAAAAAATTTCAAAAAAGAATTAACAATATGTGAAAATAGATATTCACAATTATAATCACGGCCCAAATGACAACAAATATTACATAGTATGATCTGATTTCAACTCTTTATTTTGTACATTACAGCTGCCATTTGATTCACCGTTGGCACATGTCTGTTTTATCACAGCATTAAAATGAGGAATAGCGTTTGCTGCAGTGAACGAGGTAGTCCCCTTCAGGTCAGTGACGTAGGGATTTGATCGTGGCCCGCTCTGCTCTGCTCTGCTCTCTCTAAATGTGTGAATTTCAAGGGAATATCCCGCACACTGAGAAGTAACAGACAAAATGGCGTTGTTGCATTGTTGTGAAGGATTAGAGGAGACTTAAAAAGCATTGCCCTTCACGGAGAGCTTCAGCACCAGGAGCTGAATATGGAGGCGCGTAACTCACCAGAAGAGACAGTTCAAGGAGAAATCTTTGCTTGTCATGTTAATTTACTTGGTTTTATTATGTGCAAAGTTATGATTAATAGAGCTGTTCACTTTGGAAATAACAAAACATTTCACAGTTGTTTACATATATTTAGCAGTCCTGGTTCCAGAGCGTAATGGTTTCAGGGCCTATTTATGAGCTAATCCCTCCAAAATTGATAACAAATCAGACAAAAAATGATCAAGTTTGGCAAAAGATAACCCTAACCCTAACCCACTGCATTAAAACAATATTTGCCAATGAGACAAGAACAATTATCTTTTTAACAAGATACAACAGTTATGGAAATCAGACTTAATGACTTTGTCCCATTGGCTTGTTTTAAGACAGTCAGAATGTACTCAATTTAAGATAAAAACCACTCCATTCACGTGTAGGGACTTTTATATATACATGTTTTGGTAAATAAAGATGCAGTAAATGCTGGACTAGAAGCTGATACTTTTTATGGTTTTTTCAACACCGCAACAAGGAAATGATTAGGGCCCATTTCAGAGCAGAGTTTATGGACTGTTATTGTGTCTCCATCATCTCCATTTTGGAAGGAGTGGGAGGCACGTTTAGGGTCAAACTAACTTTGGTCTTCACGAGTCAACAGTGCGCAGACAGGCAGCATTTCAGATTCATGCAGCTAAAATCTGCAGCTGAAGTATTCCTGAAAATGTGAGACAGGCTTCTACTCTGACAATGTTCAAATCCAGGTTCAAAACAGAACTGAGGAATTCAATCTTATGTGAATTATTTATGAGTTGAATGACTTGTTTGATTGTGCGGCATGTATGTGGACAAAATGTACTTTCTTTGAAATGTTGCTGGTGCGGTTTCTAAACAGGTGCGCTTAATAGTCCAGCAAGTCCTGTACGAACTGAATAGAGAGGAGGAGTTTATACTGAATATATTTTTTGGTGGTGGGGAAACCAATGATATAGAGCCTAAGTGTCACCTTTGAGTTTGTGTCTCACTTTTATGGAGCTGACACGTTGCAGAGTTTTGGAATCCGGATCAGCCGAAAATCGAATCTATAGCTTACATATTTAAAGAGAAATTATCTATTTTTTATCAGCCATAAACACTTGGACGAAGCATATGTTGAAACAAAATATTAAACCCTAACCCTATAACTATTATGATATCAAGGGCCACTGAGACTTTTTACAGTTATCAATATCAAACAGTTATTTAATAACGTGTGGATTCTGGAATACAATACAACAAGTTAATAACGTGTTCGCATTGGGTAGGGTAGATATCCAAAGATATGTTTTAAATCTGTAAAAATCTGTGACATCTCAGCCAATTACCAAAGTGTCACAAGACTTCACCTACAGAACAACAGTATAATCCAATATCATGAAGTCCTCGCTTCGTAAGAGGGTTGCAATGGTCATGATACTTCATGTTTTTTTGTTTAAAATACATTTATAAAAGCATTGTCTACTTCTAAAACATAAAACTCAATTGTAATCACCCTCATAATGAATTATCTACAAACAGCCAGCCCGAGAGCCAAGAACCCTGCAGCAGTGTGAGAAGTTGGCACTGGAAGTAGTTTAGTAGAAAATGGGTCTATTCTGCTGTGTGAGGAGATGTGGCGGAGAGGGCGTGGAGCAGAGGAAATGTGAGCTCTGTCTCTAAGCAACAACCCCTGTGCACCCGAGCAGAGGCTCTGCATAGCAGCAAACTGCACTGGGTCATCCCCAGTGCTGCAGACCCACAGGCCCAGGGGACAGACCAGTCCATACCTGCATTAGGACGAGCTGTCCAGTGGGAGAGCAGGGAATGGGACCAGCCAGAACATGAGGAATAAGACATTAACAGAAAGCTATTCTGTCTAACACAGACATTTTGAACTCAGAACTTAGAAGTAAAGTCTGTCTTTATTTAATTTTCTATTTTTTACATATTGATGGGATGGTACTTGTTTCACAAATCAAGACATAATTTGATTTGATTTTTTTTTTTCAAATTGTACAGAAATAGAGCTAGTGTTGTGCTATACTTAATAGTCATTTATCTTATGTTGTGTGCTCCCCATTCCAACTGAAATGTGTTCAATGAATCACTGTCCAATGTCTCATTCCAATCCGATTGCTATGCGTACATCTCAACCCACATTAGATTTGGCACTAGTCCCTCTGAATGGACTGCTTTTTCACACCTCAATTGGCGCGCACGTGTTTACATGTGTCTTTATCAATAGAATGAAATGGAAGTAGGTTGAGAGTTCAGTTTTCACACCTGCTTCTCTGTATGGCATGAATGAATAATGCCAATGGAAGTCTCTTTGAGTGTCCAGAAAAGCTAGATATAAAACAAAGGATCTTTATTCAAACACCGTATTTTCCCAAACCTGAAACCCAGGGAACTACCAATCACCTACAGTATATATGGGCATTTCACAACTGTCCTATTGTCTAAAAATAATTGATGCATACATTCAAGGAGCTCAGAGTATATCACGGTTTCTCTTTTCCAAGTCGTTATCATAAATTGAATCTCTATCATGTATGCTTTTTGCCACATAATGTACCGCTAATACTGACGTGAGCCCTCACCTTCTCATAGGGGTCCGAGTCATAGTTGAGGCCAATCCCACAGTCGTCAGTGATCTCAGACAGGTCCTCATCATCAAACTCCTCCAGGCTGATGTCATGGGCCGCCGGTCTGCACAGGAGCAAAGACAGAGACCATTAGTGCATTTACAAGTCATTAGAATTCAGCTCACGTTGCACTGGGTCAATAGGTATTCATGGGTTTCAGTTTCCCGTTACATGCCGCATTGTGAGACATTTCTCCAATTCAAAACAGATGACAAAGAATTGCGCATTATCATTTTGTCGTAGAAGCATTGTAAAAAATACTACGCTTTTCTTTGTTACGGTAGTTTTCAGAATGACACTGAGATTACATAGTTTAAGCTATACAGTGGTTCCGCGTTTTCCCGAGGGTTACGTGATGACAGTAAAACGCAATAAGCGAAATCCGCAAAGTAGCAGCTGTATGTTTTAAGGCTGAAAAACCTAACACCGCACAATTTATACACTTTTCACTTTTTTTCAACTCGCAACTGCTGAGTTCAGGAGATATCTCTGTGATCGCAAAGATATCGAACCTACTCGTTGTATGTCTGAATGCTGCTGCAGCTGTAAAAAGCCGTGTATATACTGTACTGTACAATACACTTGCAGAAGACACTGAGGGGGCTATGGGAAGACAGTGGTAGAGCTAATCACAGCACAGCACAACCCTAACCCTAACCCAAAAGTTTTTTTCTGACTTGAAATAAAGGCCACTGTCATGTTATACTAGCTGTTATATGATGTTGTATATGACGTGTTTGGATTATAGAGAGGCTCAGGTGAAACAGCGAGGCCACAAAAGGTGAATCACATTGGGGTGATGGACCACAGTATTTCAATTACAAAATTCAACAACAAAACAAAATTAACAGAAATTAATTTACTCTTACTTAAAGTGAGTTACTTAACAAATTCTTAAGAAAGAGAAAGAATAAATCAAGCAGGTCCGTTAAGCCCACCCATGCATTGATCGACCATTCTCCTCCAGCAAACATAAATGATCCTGGTTTTGTGAAAAGGAGGGACTATTTTAACTCATTACTTTTGATATAAACTTATTTCCTCAATACTTAATGTACATGACACTACGGGGTCAAATGGTCACAAATGTGCATTCTTCTAAAACTAAAGTTTTATCTGTTGACATCATCATTAAAACACTGATCCTTACTTAGTCATTATTGTACTTCCTAGTGTTCATCTGGACAATGTATATTGTTTTTCAAGACGCTCCTTAGTATCAGTTAGCACTACTGTATACTGCACTACTTGTTTACGTAGAACGGTTTCACATGGGAATGTTCATTTAAATAACTTTTCTCCTGTCCCCAGCACGCACACTGCTGGGTCTAACTTGGAATGAGACTTTTGAGTGTTGTCAAAGAGCCGACTTCAGCACAGATCTATGCTGGTGTGAAATGAGGCGTGGTATTGAGAGCTTCCTGATGGGATGTCGCTCTCGCTCTCCTCATCTTCATGCTGTTAATTCAGGCTTTCTGTCACAACATTCTTTTCCATGTGGGAAAAAATGCTGCATTGCAGGTCCCACCCACAGTATTGAGATAGATGCAAACTAAGAGTAAGTCTCTATAGGTTGATGTATACACTGGCTGTACCTGCAATGTCACGTCTGTGGAGCAGAGAAGGACGTGTGCAAGAACAGGGTCAAAAGTCCACGTACCAGGGTTTACATTAGTCAGCAGTGCAGACAGTGGAAGTGTGCAGATAGAAAGTACACAAAATAATAATAATAATATACAGGGAGTTACAAACTAATGTATGCAGAACTAAAATAAAAAGTAGACACGTTCAGATGAAATAATATTTACAAGATTATATATTTGTTTAATGTTTTGTTACTAAAGACCCCCCCTGCACACAAGGGCATAAGTCCATGAGTGCAGGATGGTAAGAAGAACCTCTCTCTCCAGGTGAGTGCCACCACAGACTGTATTATCCTTTGTAGACGATAGTAGGACTAGGAGTGCTGACATCACTCATAGTGTTTGGCTTCTCCAGAAGAAAACATTTAGAGCTAACTCAAACAGGCTCCATGAGCGGGAATCTGGAGCCATATTTGTAGGAAACAACAACGCAGCACTCAAAGAGGCAATCAGGAGCTGGTCTGTCCCTGTTCCCCTTTTCGCTAGTTGAAGCTGAAGTTAAAGGAATAGGCCACCGTTTTTACATACTGACATATCTTCTTACCTTACCTTAGACTAGTTGATATGTACCTATCTGTTCTTTGTCTGTGCGCTCTGTCATGCAAACGGAGCACAAATGCAGCCTCTTCAACATACTGTATAGTACCAAATCAGCTCCCGTTAGAAGCTACCAAACTCTTCCACGTTTTCCCTATTTAAATACAGTTACGTGACGTGTTACACTACAAAGTATAGTAACACAGAAATGTAACATGTCGATTTTCTCAGCGGATAAAAAGTCACGCTGCTTCTATTGACGGAAGTGAGCGGGAGAGAAGTCTTTAGGAGTTAGTGCGCGGACGTAGTGCTCCTCGTAATATTACGCCTCACAATATAGTACCCCTTTTTATACGCAGAGAAAATCGACATGTTACATTTCTGTGTTACTATACCTTGTAGTGTAACACGTCACGTAACTGTATTTAACTGTATTTAAAAACTTGTAAGAGGCTGCATTTGTGCTCCGTTTGCATGACAGAGCGCACGGACAAAGACCAGACAGGTACATATCAACTAGTCTAAGGTAAAGTCAGTAAAAACGGTGGCCTATTCCTTTAAGGATGGAAGATGCCAGTTATTAGGACTCAAACATGGATTCACAAAAAAATATCCAAATATAAACACCAAGATCATACAGATCGGTGAATCGCAGATCTTTAAGCAAAAGGGCAAACGTCTGTCCTTTTATTACTATTATTTCAATCTGACAGCGGTATCAGATTTAGGCAAGGACATCAGAGACTGTAAATTAGAAAATGTAAACAAATAATTACAAATTCTAGTTGGTCACTAACTATCCCTCACGTGTGGCGGTGCTAGGAGACAGAATGCACACTGAAGGACAGGTCAAAGAGAGTAACTTCAAATATTTGCATGTATACTGAAGCACAATGTTTGTTTTGGCCCAGGGGCTTCACCGTGGACCATTGTGCTGACCACAAACAGACAACCCAAGCAGACGCAAACAGAAAAAGGAACGGGTCAGCATGCATTTCCACACACATTGTCATATTTAATTATCTACCAGTAGTGAATGTGTCTGAATAGTGCACACATGCATTCAGTGTTTGCACTTTTGACATTTTAAATAACTTCTGAAGGATAATATACACTGGATCAGACACCACTAAGGATCTCTGTAAAAGTACATCAGTATTTACAGGAACATAAAAAACAACACATACTATTACCGCTACTGAACGTATAGCTGGTCTATGGAAGCCCGTTTCCGCCATGTAAAAAAAAAAAAAAAGCCTACAGAAAGTCAAAATTTCGACTTTAAAAGTCAAAATTTCGACTTTAAAAGTCAAAATTTCGACTTTAAAAGTCAAAATTACGACTTTAAAAGTCAAAATTTCGACTTTTAAAAGTCAAAATTTCGACTTTAAAAGTCAAAATTACGACTTTAAAAGTCAAAATTTCGACTTTAAAAGTCAAAATTTTGACTTTTAAAAGTCAAAATTTCGACTTTAAAAGTCAAAATTTATGAGTGTGTGTTGTTGTCTGGAACGGTCTCTGGACGTCCTGCACCTGCAGATTATGTGAAGATATTGCCTACAGCGACCACTGCATCCTTGAAGTAGCCAGAAATAATGTTGTTTGATTGATTCTGTAAAACGTTCCTGTTTAAGCCCCAGACCGCGGTCGTAGGAGGCAGGGAGGAGCTGTCTTTTTATTTATTTATGTTAAATTCAATTTACATATATACAGCATTTAAATCAAACGACTTCTTATTTCGACATAGTAACAAATAATGTGAGCAATACGTTTTTATAATAAATCAAAGGAAAATGAGCCATCGAGACATTCCAATCCAATCTGCTATAGACCACTCTGACCAGACGATGGCGCCACACGGAGCGAGTATTTCCACGGCTGAAAGGATGCGCTTTCTACGTGTTGAGTACGGGGTTTTATTCATGCATCTATAATGGGTTTATCTATTTCTAACCCTTTTCAAAGACCCTCACTGTTATCTGCGGAGTTATTTCTCCGGATTGTTGCTAAAAGAGTCGTGGGCTTTATTTTGTCACAATAAAATAATCAGACAAGGTACTTATTCCCTGTATGTCTCTGTGTTCTTGCTCATACGCCAACAACTTTACCCGCACGCTCCATCAGCTCACCCCCGCATGCACGCAAACACGTCACATACTCTTCAATGCACTGATCGCAATTCCAAAAGGGTATTATTGTCAGTGCCCGTGACTGTGGTTCTCCTGCCTCTGTCTGTGGTTCTCCTGCCTCTGTCTGCGGACCTCCCTCACTGTCCTGTAATCGCGAACGGTCTCTCTGTCAGTCACAATATTATTCACTGCATTTCTGGTGCATCCATTGATAGCCGTGATACTGACCAGATGTCACCAGTTGATGCTCAATGACTTTGAACAGCCACATGTGTTTTATTATTAATCTTCCACAGTCCGTTTAGGATAAACTAAATAGAGGCTTCTGAAGCGGATTCTAATCATAAACGGAGAGACCGTTTGCATTTTAACGCGATTACTACCACAACATTATTGCTGCTACTTCATGGATGTGGTCACTGTCTGTAGGCAAAATCTTCACATAATCTGCAGGTAGAGGATGACCCATGGTCATGGATCTATAACAGGGATGACCAGAGACCGTTCCAGACAGCAACACATACGAGTTTTCAACTGCACATGCGCAGTTGAAAACTCGTAATTTTGACTTTTAAAGTCAAAATTTTGACTTTTAAAGTCGAAATTTTGACTTTTAAAGTCGAAATTTTGACTTTTAAAGTCGAAATTTTGACTTTTAAAAGTCGAAATTTTGACTTTTAAAGTCAAAATTTTGACTTTCTGTAGGCTTTTTTTTTTTTTTTACATGGCGGAAACGGGCTTCCATACTGGTCTCA